TGAGGATCTGGCGACGAGGCGCCTCCCGCGCGCGACTTGAAATGATGCTGAAGGCGGAGGTGCAGGGCGGGGGAAACGTTTTTTCTTTTCTTTTTTCTTTTTTTTTTGGGGGGGTGGGGGTAAAATGATAGGGATAAAAGTGATAGTAATAATGATACTGATATTGATAAGGATAATTATGATATTAATAAGAGAAGTAGTAGTAGTAGTAATACTGATGCTAATGATGATAATATTAACAATGTCGGTGATGATAAAAATAACAATTATTATCATCATTATAATAATGATAATAATGATAATGATGATGATGATATTATTAGAGATAATTATAATAACAACAGTAATAGTCATGTTAATTATAATTACTATTATGATATCAATAATAACAATGATAATGATAATAATTTTTAAAATCTCTCTATATATCTAGATGGGAGTGTGTGTGCATAAATGAAAATCGGAACCATCCTGAGCATGCGACGTACGACAATCGATCCTCGCAGGAGCAGCGCCGGCTGAGGTTAAGAATGAGCGTAAACCGCAATAGCTTGGATCATTTTCTTGATGACACTATAAACCGTTGTTTGCGCCGCCCTTCGCTGTAATAGCTTTGTAATTACTGTATCTCGCCTTGACCCTCGCTCATACGCTGCATCGACCACGCCCACCGGTGACGTAACCATTAAGTTTAGGCCCATGATTGGTCAATTTCAAGTATGACGTGTCGTGACGCCAACTGATGGTTTACCGAGACTGTGTTTGGGTGACGTAAAAGTGAAGCTAAAACATAGGTAATAATTTACGGTTAAGGTAAAGTTTTGGCCACATTTGAACAACGAAAGTGGTCTGAAGGAGTATATAAGTATGAATCGGCCTCGCCCTACATCACATACTGTTCTGATCACCTAACATCCAGCATGTCTTCTAAGGTAGGCTCCGTCCAGCCACCATTTCTGCGGTTCTTTGAACATCATCTTACTCTCTGAGATTTTTTTGTTGTGTAAATTTGCCGGCCTATGTTTCCGTCCCTTTCATTCGAAATATCTGCTATTTTTGTGTCAATCTATCTTTGTACCCAGTTGCCTAAATGTATGTTCGTGTGCTTAACGATCGCCTTGTTTATCTCTTTCTGATAGTCTGTTTGTAAGTCTATATGTTTATCTCTTTCTTCTCTCATCAGCGTCAGACAATTCTGATACTTATAACTTTCGTTCTCATCATCTGTGCGCAAAACTGCACACATGTAAAGAACACAGATGTAGGCAAACGAGAAGAGAGAGTTTGTAGTTACGTTTTGTAAATGAGATTTTCTCTAAAGATTTAACCGGCAAACTCTCTCTCTCTCTCTCTCTCTCTCTCTCTCTCGCTCTCTCTCTCTCTATCTCGCTCTCTCTCTCGACCTATCTACCTATCTAGACACATGCACACACATATGCATATATATATATGTGTGTGTGTATTTGTCTCTCTAGCTCTCGCTCTCACTCTCACTTTCAATCTCACTTTCTCTCACTCTCTTTCGCTGTCTCTCTCTCTCTATCTCTCACTTCTTCCCTCCCAGTATCCCTCCCCTTTTCTTTTCTTCTACTTCTTTTTCTTTTTCTTTAGCTTTTTCATTTTTCTTTTTCTCCGTCACTCTCTCTCTCTCCCGCTCGATCTCGCGTCATATATCTATCTGTCGATGTATCTATCTCCCTCCCTCTCCTTACCCTTCTTTCACCCCCTCCCACTCCCTTTCCCATTTCCTCTCCCTCTCTCTCTTCCTCCTTCCCCGCCTCTCTCTCCTCAAGGAAGACGCAGCCGCCCGACCCTGTGTTCATTCACATTTCCGTTTTGCAGCTCTTCGTCCTGTTCGCCCTCGTGGCTGTGGCCTGCGCCGCCCCCCGCCCCGATGCCCCTCCTTCCTACGGCCCCCCCGCCTACAAGGAGCCTGGCATGCCCTTCGACTTCGCCTACGCCGTCAAGGACGACTACACCGGCAACGACTTCGCCCACGACGAGACCAGCGACGGCAAGGTCACCTCGGGATCCTACCGCGTCCTCCTCCCCGACGGTCGCACCCAGATCGTCACCTTCACCGCCGACCACCACAGCGGATACGTCGCTAACGTCGCCTACGAGGGCGAGGCCTCCTACCCTGCAGCCAAGCCCGCCGCCTACGCCCCTCCCCCTCCCGCCTACGCCTAAGCACCAAGCCTTCCTCCTTCGCCTGTGATACCAACAAACACCTGCCGTTCGCCTTCCCCTTTTCCAAGCCTCTCCACCTCACTCCAAGCCCCTTGACTCCTTCGCCACAACTTCATCGTTGTCTCGACCTGTCGTTCCTCAGGCTCGTTCCCGCTCGTTTCGGAGACGCCGCTTGAGCGCTGCTTCCGCTGCCTCCGCTGCGGCTGCGCTTCAGCGCCTGCCTCCTTTCCCTGTCCGATAGTCAAAAGCAATTTTATTTATTGTAAATTATGCTTTTCGTTCTTTAAAATAAGTGCTGACATATGCGATA